CCGTTCGACCCCACTGATGTTCGGCCTTTCGGCCTCAAAGGTATTCGCCCGTTGGTTTCAACCGCTCGACCATCCGTTCGGCCGTTCGACCCCACTGATGTTCGGCCATCCCGCCTCAATTATGTTCGTCCTCTTGGCTTCAATCGTTCGACCATTAGGTCTCACGGACGTTCGGTCACTTGTCCTCAACCCATCGGCCTCAATTGTTCAGCATTCGGCCTCACATGCCACTCGGCCGCTACCGCTCCACCATACATGGCCTCATGTATGCAAATATTCAACTGTTAAACGTTCGACCTTCGCAACTATTAAACGTTCAGCCATCGCGACCTCAAACTTTTCAGCTTTTGGCCATTCGGCCTCACAACTTTTTGGTCCTTCGATCTCAACCGCTCGGCCTCAGTTGTTACGACGTTCAACTGCTTGGCCTAGGGCAAAGAGAAAACCCATAACAACCCGTCGTTCATCCACAGATGAGCAACAACCAGAAACACGCTCCCTAACACAACGAATACAGCCTCCCTCAAACTCATAAGTCCTATAGTCACCACGTCCATAAAACAGAACGGTTAACTCAGACTTGGGGGGCATGTTATGTAGTAAGATATTTATTAGATAAAATATCTTAGATATTTTAAGCGGTTAAGATATTTATGAGTAACTAACCACATTTTTAGGTAAGATTATTTTTATTGGCTTATAAATACAATGACAGGACAAAACTCCAGGTACGTTCCCTCTACGTTCTACTTATGCCAGAGGAACTCTAGATAATATTCTACAGTGATAATATAATCATTTTCTTGAGAGCTGAGGCGCCATACTCAATCTGACTTCAGCGTCGGAGTATCTTCGCAGGTACCTCCCCCTCCTTTGGAGCATGAACACCAACAATTGAGGAAAAGCAAGCGTCCCGGACATCTAGAAGCAACAAAAACACACCGGACATCTAGAAGCAACAAATGACATGGATTCATCACGAAATGTATAACATAAAAATTATGTAAAGGTGATTTATACACATCTATTTTTTCAATTAGTTTTTACTTTATCTAAATAAAATCAATATAATAACATTAATGTACAAGGTGTAATATCTGAATAAAAAATACAATATATTCTTATATCTATATATCTATATTTCCATATATATATATAATTATATATTATATATATATATATATATATATATATATAACACCAAAATATGTCCATAAATAATATCAAACATAAAACATATAAAACATAGAACATTTAACATGTTCTTATTGGCTACGAGTAACAAAAGGTGATGTTCCCATATTTAGAAGGTATGAAGATGATATTGCCTAGGGAGGTTCTGAAAGACATCAGTGAGGGGGCAGATTTTTCTATTGTGATGGCGCAAGAAAAGAAGAAAAACACAAATGAACAGATCGCATGTATGTCGTGTTTCTGGAGGAGGTGTCGGGTTTGCCACCAAGTTGGAAGGTGGATTTCACTATTGACTTAGTATTTGGTAGTTTTCAACATTAGAATATGTTTCATTTATTTGGCATAAAAGAAATTGAGATTTTTATTACTTCAGTTTTCGACAATGGTATCAGATTTTAGCGTGGCATCCTAAATTGATATGTTACACTCTTTGATTTTATATTTTATATATGTATGAGATGTTGGAGTGAATATGGTGTTCTTATACAACATGTGTTATTAATATATGATGTTCTTTTTGTATATTAGTTTATCTTCTTTTATTTGTTTGTCTGTTATGTGTTTTTATTATTCTTCTTTTTGCAATGATCATTTTATTAGTGTGAGTAGATGAAGATACAAGTTTGGGATTTTCTTTGAGAGATGATGAACCAATTATTTGAGTCGTGGAGCGATGGTAGATCTTGTTAGCTATATCTTTGAAATAGAACTTAGAAGCTTGAGTTGTACATGTGTGATACTATTATAGTCTTACATGTACTATGATTGTACCAATATGAGATATACTTGTTTAAACTCTTTTTTAAAAATTTGTAATGAAATGTTTTATTTTATTAGTAACATGCTCTTAAAATAAGATGTTACAATATAGAAATTATATAATCCTACTATTCAATCACACTTTCAATTATTAAATTTGTATTTAAACCTAATAACAATAATAATAAATAATAATAATAATAATAATAATAATAATAATAATAATAATAATAATAATAATAATAATAATAATAATAATGTGTTTTCACTAGAATTTAAAAGTTTATTATGATCTTAAAGAATAGATAAGTAAACCCCAAAAGGTTGTTTAGATACATAATAAAAAGTGGAATGTTTTTTTAATCTCTTAAAAAGAGTATAACAAAACCACAATAAAATTTTATTAATAAAATATTTAAATATAATTTTTATTGACATGATAAAATTACTAGACAATTTTATAGTGAGAAAATATTAAAAATTGTAAAAATATAAAAATATAAAAATATGACAACTTAAATATTAGTAAAAATTGATATTTGTCACCATAATAATAAATAAAATAGTATAAAGAGCAAATATTTTATAATCGCACATGTACGATATTATAATCATTTATTCGGTCTTTTGTATTACATTATGTTTTTTCACTACAAAAATTTACAATTTTTTTGGGATTATTTTTTTCATTTTCGATGGTTTTAAGCTCCGAAAAATATGTTACCCGCGGTTAGGAAAACCGCTGATAAAAACTACATCGATAAGTAATTACCAGCGATTTTTCAAACCAACGCAATTTCTAGAGGTTTTGAGAAAACCACCGATATTAGAGGGAGTTTTGAGAAAACCGCTGGTATTAGCGGAGTTTTGCTGAAACCTCCAGAACTAGTCAGGGTTAAGCAAATTCACCGGTACTTAACCACCAATAATTGTTGAATTTACGTAATTGGAGTTTTCAAAACTGTCGAAAATATAGATAATTTAATTTTTTTATTATTCAAATAATTTGATTATCATAAATAAACCAAAATTCAATAATATAAACCAAAATTAAATGTAAACATTAAATATAAACCAAAATATTATGATATAAACTATAAAATTAGAAATACAATTAATGTTTCCTAAAAATTAAAATAAACATATTATGAATAATAATCATCAATTTTGTAGTTATTCATTGTTTTCATCATTTAGTACTTCTTCATTATTTTCATTATCTTCATTATTTGATACTCATTCGTTGTTTTCATTATTTGATACTTCTTCATTGTTTTTAATATTATATTTGATACGTTTCTTTTTTCAAATACCGACAATATAAAATAATAATTAGTTAATAATATATTAAAAAATTATTAAACATTTTATAAATCATTGATGGTTGAAAAATATTAAAATGTGATATAATAGGAATTGCACAAGACCTATTAATCATTCTCTTAGTCCTCAGATATAAAGGCCCAGGCCGTAACAGATGTCATTTCTCCCTCAAACACAAACAAGATATACCAAATCACGAAGACAGTAAACAAAATTGATTATTACTAAACATTAAAAAACGTAAAGCATGATATTGTAAGTTTTACCATCTCACAAGTTTGATGCTACAAGATAGGATGATATAAAAAGTAAAAATTCATGAAATTATAGTAACATATTAGCATACAGAAGGAAATTTATGTATAACCTCACAGTGACAGATCCTGTTAGTACTGGCAGGAAGAGCCAAATAACAAGCATCCAAACAAGGGGGAAAAAAGCAACAAGGGGGAAAAAAGCAACAAGGGGGAAAAAAGCGCAACGCCCTGTGGAGAAAAACTGCCTCAGAAAATTATATGCATGATATAGCAGTTTGTTGGCATGATATAGCAGTTTGTTGGCATGATATAGCAGTTTGTTGACATGATAAAAAGTTTAATTAACAATTAAATGAAATTAAGGTCCATATTAATTTCACTCTCACCTTTAATCTTGGGCATTGCATAAATAATGTCCATTACACTTAGACTACTTATTTTATATACATATGTTTTGTCTTGTATAGGATAATCGGATAAGGCATGGATAGTGCCTACCCACAACCCGACCCGTATACAAAAAATCATACCCGCAACTCGATCCACTATCCGCTGGATATCTGCATAAAAAAAATTTGTAGATTTTTTCTAACCCACGAATACCTGTTTAATACCCTGTTTAATACCCGTTTTCAACCTACAAATATTTAAAAAATATATTTTGTGAATTTTTAAATAAGGTTTAAATTAAATTACAAGTTAAAGAGAACAATTGAATATATTTGCTACATATTAAAAAGACAATGTAATTTTTAAACAAGTTAGAAAACAAATCTTGAACAACTTATGAAAAAAAAATGAGGAAGAAACACCAAATAACTGAAGTCTCACAAAAACCTATCAATATATGGAACAGATAGATAAATAATTTCCGAGAGAACTCAAACAGGAACCCTAAACCCAAATTTTGAAAACGAACGCAATCACACAAATCTCCAAACCGCAATAACCACTAGAGTCTTCAAAAATCCAATCTATATCAATGAACTAAAATCCAAAAAAACTCAAAACACTCATTCAAATCATAACCCCAAAATCGCGTCACCAATCAACAGTGAAGAAATCAAGAAACGAACTCCCAAACCGTACAAAAGAAACCCCAAAATCAGAGAACAAATAAAACCCTAATTTCAAATCCCAAATTGGAACAAAACCCCAATCAGAACCGAGTGAGAGGTAGAGGGAATGGAGCCTACTCCCTGCGCAAGCTGAACCAAAAGGAAGAAGAAAAGAGTCCTCCGTTAAAAGAGGATTTTCTAATGGGATTCTATGTATATGTCTAATATCTCTATTAGAGTTAGGTCAAAAGTAATGTACCCCTTTTTATTTCTTTTTTCTTTTAGAAAAAGGTAATTGAAAGAAATCCTAAGTCATTAGTATTAAAATTTTCCTTTTTTAAGAGTAATAAAAAAATTAAATTTTAAAAAATATTAATTAAATTATTATTATTTATTTTTTCGAGTAACGAGTATCCGCGTTGGAAAGTATAATACCTGCATCCGATCCGTTTCGAAACAGGTATCAAAATATCTGCTACCTATTACTCACAGATAATAAATATATGCGGATAGTAACTATCAATTGCGGGTTTTATCTGCGGATATCTGCAGACGTGGATTTTTTTGTCGTCCCTATTGTTGTGAAATGACAAGTCTGCATTATGGAGAAACAGAAAGATTAGACCAATATTAGTGGTAAAAGAATGTAATAGGACTTGACAAAAGACTTGAGAAAAGAATAACTAAAGAAATTCAACCTTGTGTCAACAATGGCCGTGATATCTCCTCTTGATATCATGAAACTCTCTCAACCTCTGTACAACCGAATCTAATAACACCTCAGGATCACGAATTCAAAGTTCAAATTAAATATTATTTAAGTTGACAACTAATAAGAAAAAGAAAATAATGGAATGATGAAGCAGAATAGAAGTAGCACAAAATGTACAACAGACAAATCTGAACAGAAATATTGTAGATAACTGGTCAGTTAAGAAAACTACTATTTAAAACTGGACAAAAATAATATGATAGAGAAAATAATTAAAGTGCAGCACAATGGGCACGTCTCAGATTACCTATGCCAAATGTAAGTCCAGTATAACATACATTACTAAATCAATATAGTTTGTAAAAAATAAATCTAGTTACACTCCTTAAATCAATAAACTTCAAAAATTAGTACATATTGCCAGAAAAATTAGCAGAACATTAGGGGAATCATATAAAAACTTCAGATTTACAAATCAATTATAGTTCTTGATGAAAAACAAGTGAAGGGTAGAAGGCAGAGTTAGATCCATTTGTCTCAACAAACTAGAAAAAGGAAAATAAAATAAATAATAATAGTTAGATTTAGCAATACAACTTTGGTATCCCAACTGTATTGAGGATGTCCAATGTTTTTCTATGTGCACTCTGCATCCCAGATATATGTCCAAATGAAAAGGTATTTATTAACAACAATATAATGGATTAATAATGCTCCATTAATTAGCACTAAGAAATTAAAACCCTAAAAGAACTGGATGTTGATGAAGGTTAATATAGAAAACATGAATAGGATAAAAGCTACACTTTTTTCTTCAAGAGAGATGCATTCAGTGTAAATGGAAGTAGAAGTAATGGTTCAAATTTAAAGGGAAAAGGGGACAAGAAGTGTTATGTTTAAAATCTGAACCATAAAATAACATTAATGAGAAATAGAGATAAAAAGCATAATTATATTTAACGTAACTAATGACTTAGTGGATATGTTTAAGAGGTGAACATCTGAAACAGAAACAGCACGAAAAGAACAATAAATAGAGATAGGAAACTGATATTTTACGCAATTACAATCTAAATTTCTTTAGTAGAAAAACAAACATAATATTTAGTTTGTCACCAATAATCACAAAGATATTATTCTAGCCAAACCTGAACTGTAGAATATAAATGTTGTCACAACAGAAATGAAATGAAATTACCTTCAAGCGTTCTCTTTTGACCATGTATTGAAGAAAGGATGGCTTCCCCAATTGCATTTGCATTTTCTAGTTCCGGGGCAGAGGCGCGAACTGAATGTAATGCTTGTGCCTCCTCATGAAAAATTCTTAGAACATGAGGAGAATCCCCATTCTAGCAATTTCAAATGAAGTAGTTATCAATAAATGATGAAGTAAAAATAAGCCACTAAACTAGAACATGATGGTAACAACATACAGCTCGTCCCAACAGTTCTGCTCTCTAATTAGCTTCTCTCATCCGTTTCTGATGCCGTAAGTTATATTTATCCAAACTTGCTCTTAGTGATTCAGCCTCCTCAGCTATTTGTTCCACTTTTCTGAATAAGAAACATAATATCTTTAATGAAAATCCTCAACTAGAATACTGCAATTCCAGCAGCAGAACCCATTATAGCATAGATATAAGCAGAAGATACAGAGAATTGTTTTCTGTATTATGATATGACAATTAGCATTTAGTTATGCGTGTAATCATTTTGCACAAAATGACAAACCCAGATAACTGAGACAATAAAGAGAACCTGACATTAAAGTTTTTTGACTCCAAAATTCTGCATAGATCTTAACCAGAACAGAAGAGCATCACTAAGGTCAAGGATAATTATTGTGAAATAAGTTATAGTCCAAAAGATTGAGATTTCAACAATGATATAGGGTATGTAAAAATAGAAGTGGTTTAAAGCAGGAGATAGTTTAATTTTCAAGGAGAGGGGGGGACAAAATAAACAAATATTATACAGTATGTCTGTCACGTTTAATTTGTCAAAACGAGTGCGGTGTTAAGAAATGCAGCAAAGATAAAAGCATATTTATATAGATATTATTGAGGTAAGTTCTTGTTATTGAGGTAAACGCTAAGAAACATTGCAGATACTTAAGTTCTTGTTATTTCTAACATCAGCAGATTGACAAGTCCTAATTGGTAGCATATGTCGTGGTTGTTACTGCATCGGTCGTCGAGGGGAACTGCAAACCAAGCAAAAACTAAGAGGCTTAGATCATTGAGGGGAACCGCACAACTTTGATATCTCTGTTCTATGAAAGTTTTCTTTTATCAAAAAAGTCAATCCATTAACTGGACTTCCTCTCAATATAAGACAAATCTGCATAATGAACAACAAAACTGGAGTTCCTTTTAATGTCTTTATCTTGAATCAGGATTATAGAAATCGTATTCAACACGAGTTTATGTTCCCAGTACCTAACATAGAAAAAAAAAACAAGAACTCTAAAACATATATGCATTCTAGTCAAGACCATACATCACAACATGCTCAATATAAGTAAGACAAAAATCAATCAATTTAACCACAACAATTTACATGAAATTAAAACCCCTAAATTTGAATGGAACGAGGTTTTCCAATTTCTGGGGTTTTGGAAAGAGGATAGGGCGATGGAAAAGAGAATTCAGATGAGACTAAGAGGACGAGAGAATTAGGAATTTCAGAAGAAGAGAACTTAACTGTGACGGACGAAGCTCAAGCATCAATGGCGGACAACGAAGGAAGAGTCAGACGATGGATGCGACTAAGGCGAAGGACGCAACTCAGGCGAAGGACGCGACTCAGGCGGATGATGAAGACTCAGGCTGATGAAGACTCAGGCGGACGATGAGGACTCAGACCAGTATAGTGAATGACAAAAAACGTTTTGCGGTGAACAATGAAGAAGAGGTGTGCAGAAGAGATTAGGAAAATTAGGGAGAAGCAAAATGTGAGCGCGGAAGCAATCGGGGAACAAAATAATTATTTCACTCTTCCGGGTGTTTTCCATCCCAAAGCGCCAAAAACATTTTAAAAAAAATCATAACTTAACTGCGGTCTATAAAAACCGTCCGTATTATTGGAGGTTTTTAAAATCCCTGTAAATAAACCTTCATTAAAAATTTTGTAGTGTTGAATGTGTCATACATACATTACATTACTTTTTTTATTTCAATTCTTTAAAATGGAAAATATTATGTATGATGTGTTTTATACGAATTTAAGAAAATCATTGAAAGGTATATTATACCATTTTAGGAAAATTAATATACTTTTTTCAAATATATATATATATATATATATATATATATATATATATATATATGCAAATGAATATTACATTTTGTTCACAATAAATATTTAAAAATTGCGAACACGATAACACTTTATCGAGCCTTTGTTTTCTCTAGTACTATTTATGACAATATTATTATTGATAATATTATTTAACAATAAATGTCACAATAATAAACTATTTTATTATGATTTTGTATACTATTTTATTTAATAATTTCACTATTTTAATAATAAATATTATTATATATTGGGTAAAGGGAAATATTTGTCATTTTAATATTGAGAAAATGTCTAACAAGTAAGAATAAAAATTTAATATAAAAATTATATAATTCTACTATTCAATTAATCTTGCAATTAATAAATTAGTATTTAAACCTAATAATAATTTATATGTAAAGTGTAAAACTCTAGAAAATGATATTTTAGAAATTGTAGTAGTTTAAAACTAGTGAGGCTCAATTATTTTAATATTAAATGATTTTATTATAAATAATTTTGTTATAAGAGTTTCATTATTTTAAAACACATTATATCTCTAGAAACGACTTTTCTAGAGTCATTTGTCTTCTCTCTAAGGGTTCTTGTATCCTTATTCATATGTTCAAAGTTCGGAGGTCGCTTGTATGATCCTCGCGGCTAAATCTTCAAGTCTACCTGATCAGTTCCTCAAAAAGAGTAAGTTAGATTTCTACTATTGTCTCTAGTTTCACGTTTTCCAATGCATGTGATGTATGACTTTATGTATGCTTTGAGTCTTCTTTTAGGTTATTTATTGATCAGTGGTTCTAACGGCGTACTCTGATCATGATTATATTGTTTGTATGTACATATAGAGCTTTTTGAGCTATGAAAGTGATATAGGGTCTTCTAGAACAGTTGGATCTTCTAAAAGGTAAGGGAAACTAAATGTCTTATTTCAAAAGTTTATGTAATTTGTTAAATTGTTTTGGTATGTTGTAATTATATGAAATTATGATGGAATCTGTGTTTAATTTATGTGACAATATGTTGTATGACACGTTGAATTAATAGTTGGTAATTTAAGATATATTATGCATATGCTTGTGAATTGGTATTGGTTGTGTACTTAAGGTGGCTATTTTGGAGTATGATTAGACAGAAAACTGATGTAGTATTATGAAGTAGAAAATAGGCTAATTTGTAGGTTGCTTTTAGTCTAAAAGTGGGTTTTAATAAGTGAGATTTTGAGGTAATAGTCGAATGGGAGAAATTGATATTTGTGGTGTGCTTTTAGATCATTTAAAATTTATCTATACCTTTAGTTAATCAAAAAGCTAATATTGAATTGGTAAGTAGTTAATAGGTTGAGTTTAGGTTGTTTTTTATATAATTTTAAGGATTATAAGAGGTGAAATATTGAAGGAATGGTTTTATGAGTGAAGTTGTTGTTTGGTATTTACTATGAAGTCATTTAGGACAAAGTTGGCTAGTTAGTGTATTGGAAAATCTGGTTTAAAGCATTTAAATTATGATTTATGAGTTTTAGTTGTAAGTTGATTGGTTAAATCTTGATTATTGACTAAATTATTAAATTGATATCTAATTTACAAGCCCTTTTTTTTTATCATTCCTAATGTCTAAGAAGTCATTTTGATCATTTGGATAAGCATTTGGGTCAACCAAGACTAGTTTTAGAGTTATTAATTTGGCTTAAATGTTTACTTCGTCCCCATGTTAAGAGGTAAATTTATATTTAGTACCCGGTTTTAAAAATAAAGACATTGGGTCCCTATGTTATGAAAAATATATGAATAAGGTCGATAAAGAAAGAACAATTTCAACAAATCATCAAAGAAAAAACTGAACAAGAGATAGAAAAAGCTGGACAGTAGAAGAGAGAAGAAAAAAAAGGCGGCCACATCAGCATGGACTTAACGTCGTTGTTGTCAACTTAACGGACATGACCTTATTCATACATTTTTCATAACATAGGGACCCAATGTCTTCATTTTTAAAACAGAGTACTAAACAGAAATTCACCTCTTAACATGAGGACGAAGTAAACATTTAAGCCTATTAATTTTTTGGTATGGGGCTAAGTGCCAAGATAGTAGGGCTGAGCGCCACTTTTCCAGTGGTGTTGGGGCTGAGCGACACTCTTCCAATGGTGTGGGGCTGAGCACTAGGAAAGTAGCACTGAGCGCTGCTTTTCTAGTGAGGATAATGCTAAGTGCCGAAAAGTTGACGCTAAGTGCCATGTGTGCAGTATTGGTTTGTGTTCTATGTTCTCTTATTCTTGTTGGGTTTTGAGTTGTATTTGGTACTTTGATGCTTGTTTAGTGGTATCTAATGAATTGTGTCAGGACTAAAAAAAAAAAAAAAGTGTGCTAGTGGAGTCCACATGGCGATCGCAGAACGAGCCACCTCAGCAGCGTACGTGGCGACAGCGCTCCACCAGCGGACGCCAGGTGTCGCACGTGAAGGTGGGTCAGCAACGTTAGTGGAGAGCGGCTGCCAGAGTGTAAACGTGCTTTCGGCGGTAGTGGATTACATGTGTCCGGCTCAGAGTGGACGACCGTCCGGCATGGCCGACAGGAGCATAGTGGAGTGCGCTGGTAGAGTGGGGACGTGCGTTGTCAGATTGGGAAGGTGGCTGCCAGATTGGACGTGCGCTGGACGGGAGTGGAAACACTCTGAGATTCTGAACTTATTCTCCACTCCCTCTACACGCACCTCTCTGTTTCATTTCTGAAAAATCTTTCTCTTCTTCTCTCTTCATTTCTCTGCACCTTCTCTCTACGTCTTCTCCACCTTCTCTCTAAGAGTACACCGTTTCATCTCCTCCGATCAGTATTCCGGTGCCATAGAAGGATGCACGACGTCCAGGATTTTCAGAAGAACCGTTCGGTTTGTGAAGCTTGACGGGTAAGTCCTTCCCCGCTCTCTGTCGTTCGTTTTACTGGCATGCAAACCCGGTTCTGAGTACGTACGTTGATTCACCATTCTTAAAAATAGGAGATCTGAAAGTGTTGGGTGTCACTCGTTGTAGATTGATTTAACGAGCGTTGACGGTAGGAGAGTCTAGTAGAGAAGGGTATTTGGGCATCTGTGAACGTTCGATCATCTAAGAGGTAAAGGAAGCTTATTTAATTTAACTGGTTTGATGTATGCTATTTGAACGTTTGTTATTTTACTGCATGAAAGTAATGCGTGATGTATGATATGTATGAATCGTATGAACGTTCGTTATTTGACTGGATGGGTATAATGTATGATGTTTACTGTGACTGATATGCATGGACGTTCGTTGATGTGATGTATGAAATACATGAATTTTGATGTTATGGGTCGTATGAAATGTAGAAGTAAATTTTGATATGAACGAATGGAAATTTATGAGATTTGAATGAGAAATGAACTGGAATATATATGAATTTGAAAATGAACTTCCCTTGATAGCATGCGCTCGTTGCTGAACGGTCATTGACCGTTCGGTTTTCTTTACAAACATAATAGAAATGGGATTCTGTCATCTGGGTAGAATTCTGGTCGAGGACGAGCGTCCTCATGTCAAAAGACTTTGTTTGAGCGTTCGGCCAAGCCCTGTGGTATTTGGTATATTTTTGATAAACTCCGTTCTTGTATATTTGGAATAGTATATTTCCCGTTCGTAAATACCGCTTTGAAAGTCCCTTAGTATATTTATCAAAGTCTGTTAATTGAAGTTTATTAACGTTCGGTCTCCTACCAAACGTTCGTACTGAGTAGCGTTCGGTCTAGTACATAGCGCTCGCAATAAATGGTGCTCGGTCTTATACTGAGCGCTCGCTCTAAATGGTGCTCGGTCTTATACTGAGCGCTCGCTCAAAATGGTGCTCGGTCTTACACTGAGCGCTCGTACTCTTTCTCGTAAATTAGTCTTATAAAATAACGTACGTCCAACGTTAGATTTCCACGCTCGGTCATTGACTAGCAGTGGGTTCAGTATGAGAATTTTTATAAAAGCGTTTCCTTGAAATCTTGAGAATTTTAATTCCTTGATGTAAATAACGTTCGTCCAATGAAATCGGACATTATTTGGTTATTTTCGAACGTAATTGTAATTCTGCCGTTCGTACTCTGATCCGAACGAGCGTCTCTTTTGGTTCAGCCAGTAGCGTTCGTCCTCAGTCGACAGAACGTTCGTTTTTCTATGGTCTCCCTCTTAATGATGAAAATGTATATGGAATGATGAATAGTGAATGATGAAATGAATATGAAAGGAAATGAAAATTATGAATGTTGAACGAGCGTTCCAGGCAGGAACGACTCATGAATGAATTGGTATAGTATGACTGTGGGAAGTTAAGCTGGCTGTTCGATCCTGATATTCCGTGAGTGTTCGTCCTCACATAGAGGGGGCACGTCATGCGTGGGAATGGCAGGAGGTCCCAGTCCTAGACTGTACTTAGGACGGAACGGACTAGCCTCGGGTGGCAGCTGATGAGTGTGCCAGTTACCACACCACCCGGGTGCATGAACGCCTGTAACTACGCAGAATTCATACAGTCCGGACGGTCAGTCGTGTGTTGAGTTTTATGAGATGCATGCGTTGATATGTATATGTGTGATGAACTATTTACGTGATTTATATATTGATGCATCAGTTAAATTACATAAGCTTACCCTGCGTTTTCCTTGTGTTGTCTCGTTTTGTACCTCCGTCTTGTCATTGCAATGATCATCCGTGTGGATGTGAGCAGAAGGAGATGAGCGTTTGGAAGAGGCGCTGAATGAAGAGAATCTGGTAGAAGTCGAAGTGAAGACCGAACAGTAGTACGTTCGGCTAATATTTCAGATGTTGGATGTAGTGGTCGTTCGACCACCTTATCTTTTATTTTGGCTAAGTTTGACCGTTCGGTATTTCCCTTGTAAACCGTTCGGTCAAGATTTCATGTACGTTCGATTTTTAAAATTTGTAACCTTATGTATGGACGTGCGGCTTTGTGCGTTCGTTATAATTGTAAGACTGTACTCAAGGACGTTCGTCCTTGAGCGTTCGTTCTTTTAGTGAAAACTGTTTTGAATTATTATTGAAGTGATTTTTCAATTATATAGTTTATGACTGTATTTTTGGGATGTCACACTAGTGGTATCAGAGCAGTTTTGATCTCTTAAGGACACTGTAGGTTATGAGTGCACTAAATTTTGATGTGCGCTTAATGTGTGTCTAATGAGTTATTCCTTCAACTCTTTGAACATGACTAACGCTCATTTTTCTCTGTTTCTAGAGAACAAATGGCACCTAGACTTCCTCCTCCACCACAGCCCAATGAACATGATGCACCCAACAACACTAGACTGTTGGAAACATGATTGAGAGGCTGCAACAACAGAACATTATACTAATGGAGCAGAATGCAGCTGTCCTACAGAGTCTGGAGGCCGCTCGCGCAAATTCTGAATCGATGCAGAGGCAATTGATGGAGATCATTGCCGCCACCAGAGGCACACCAGGAGCGTCCTCTTCTAACACTACCCAACCTGCTGAGTGGAGCTTGGAGAATTTCCTTCAGCATCGCCCGACCAAGTTCGATGGGAAGTGCCTTCCTGATGAAGCAGATCAATGGCTGCGTGACATGGAGAGGATTTATAATGCGAAAAGGTGCCCAGATGAAAATCGTTTGGCTTTCACAGAATATCTTCTGACTGGAGAAGCGAGCCACTGGTGGGCTAGCGTGAGAGCTATATTGACGGACGCTCACAGTCCTATTACTTGGGAAGTGTTCAGAAACAAATTCTATGAAGAGTATTTTCCAGACGGTGTTCATTTTGCCAAGGAGGTGGAGTTCCTACAGTTAGTACAGGGGGGAATGTCTGTTTCTGAGTATACGAACAAGTTCAAGCACTTGGTTCGTTTCAACACCATGGCGACCAGTGAGGAGTGGCAGTGTAGAAAGTTTGAAAATGGGCTGAAGAGTGATTTGAAGGTGTTAATTTCCAGCTTATGTATTCCGTCATTTCCTGCAATGGTTGAGAGGGCCAAGGTATTGGAGAAAAATATGGCTGAGGCAGAACAACAGAAGAAACAACAAGCAACCAGAGGACCAATTCTGTCAAGGGCGAACCTGAATCGGAATAGGATACCGTACGCCCGTCCAACACCGCCGTCAAATTCAAGTGGGTCTCGAGCTTTGGTTGTTGCCGGACAATCAGGACAACAGGGGACGATCAGATGTTTTCAATGTGGAGGACCACACTACCGATCATCGTGTCCTCAGTTATTAGGGGTGAAGTTATGCACTCGTTGTGGGAAGAACGGACATCTAGAGCGCGAGTGTAATATGGGCGGACGAGCGGCAATGAGGCCGCCAAACACTGGAAGAATGCAACAAGGGAGAGGTGGACGAGCGCAGGCTATTGGTCGAGTCTATGCGATCACGGGCGTTGAAACTGCCAGTTCAGGTACGCTCGTTACCAGCACATGTTTATTATTTGGAAATCCTTGTTGTGTATTGTATGATTCGGGGGCGACACACTCCTTCATCTCGAAGGCGTGTGTTGAGAAATTGGGATTAGCAGAAAGTGAAATGCAGTTTGACTTGGTGGTGTCAACCCCAGCAGCTGGTGAGGTTAGGACGTCTACTATGTGTGTGAGATGTCCTATTGAGATAGAAGGGCGTAGATATAAGGTAAACCTCATATGTTTGCCTCTCAAGGAGTTAGAAGTGATTTTGGGAATGGATTGGCTAACTACCAATCACATTCTCATAGACTGTGGTGCTAAGGAATTAATTTTTCCTGAAGAAGATGAAGAAGACTTGAGTGTGACGCTTGGTCAGTTGAAAGAAGATATCATGGAGGGCGCTAGCTGCTTTTTGATAATGACGCACGAAGACAAGGAAGTTGGAGGTGTGAATTTGGAACGATCGTCCAACGACGAACACAGTGGAGGACGATTGGTTGTGAGTGAGTTTCTAGACGTCTTTCCGGATGAAGTGCCCGGACTACCTCCCGTTCGAGAGGTTGAGTTTACCATTGATCTGGTGACAACTGCAGCACCCATCTCTGTTCAACCATACCGAATGGCGCCAGCGGAATTAGCTGAACTTAAGAAGCAAATTGAAGATTTAATGGACAAAAAGTTCATACGACCGAGCGTATCACCGTGGGGAGCGCCTGTACTGTTAGTGAAGAAGAAAGATGGCAGCTCTCGGCTCTACATTGATTATAGACAATTGAATAAGCTGACCATCAAGAACAAATATCCTCTGCCTAGAATCGACGACCTGTTGGATCAGTTACATAGTGCGAGCGTATTTTCAAAGATAGATTTGAGATCAGGTTACCACCAGATTCGAGTGAAAGAAGAAGACATTCAGAAGACGACATTTAGATCTCGTTACGGACACTACGAGTATGTAGTGATGCCGTTTGGTGTGACGAACGCCCCAGCTGTTTTCATGGATTACATGAACCGCATTTTCAGGCCGTATTTGGATAAGTTCGTGGTGGTGTTCATTAATGATATCCTTATCTACTCCAAGAGCTGTGTAGAACATGAACAGCACTTGAGACTGGTACTTGGAGTTTTGAGAGACAAAGAGTTGTACGCTAAGTTGTCCAAATGCGAGTTTTGGATGAAAGAAGTGAAATTCTTGGGGCACGTGGTTTCAGCTGAAGGAATCTCAGTAGATCCGACCAAAGTACAAGCGGTATTAGAATGGGAGAGTCCACGCTCGGTTACCGAAATTCGCAGTTTTGTGGGACTCGCGGGTTACTATAGACGATTCATTGAAGGATTTTCCAAGATAGTAGCCCCGCTGACTCAACTGACCAGAAAGGATCAACCGTTCGCTTGGACCGATCGGTGTGAAGTGAGTTTCCAAGCTTTGAAGGAGAAGTTAACAAGCGCCCCAGTGTTGGTCATTCCTGACACGTCCAAACCGTTCGAAGTATATTGCGACGCTTCTCATCAGGGTTTGGGTTGTGTGCTCATGCAAGAGAAGCGGGCGGTAGCGTACGCTTCTCGACAATTGAAAGTTCACGAGAAGAACTATCCAACACACGACCTGGAATTAGCAGCGGTCGTCTTCGCGTTGAAGATTTGGAGGCACTACTTGTATGGATCAACATTCCAAGTGTTCAGTGATCACAAAAGCCTCAAGTACCTTTTTGACCAGAAGGAATTAAACATGAGGCAGAGGCGTTGGTTAGAGTTCTTGAAAGACTATGACTTCGAACTACTCTACCATCCGGGAAAAGCGAACGTTGTAGCAGACGCTTTAAGCAGAAAGGTTGTTCATGTCTCGTCCATGATGGTCCGAGAATTGAGTTTGGTGGAAAGTTTTAGAGATCTAAGGTTGACGTTCGACCTAGGTACGAATGGTATCAGATGTTGCAACCTTAAGATATCCAGTGTCCTTGTTGACCGGATCAGAATGAAGCAGCGAGAGGATGAAGAGTTGGTGAAGATCTTAAACACGCTCGGTACAGATCAAGCTAAACATTTCAACACCGGAACGGACGGTCTTCTACGCTACATGGATAGGACGTGCGTTCCGAATGATGGCGAGCTGAAGAGGATTATTCTTGAGGAAGGACATCACAGTCGTCTTAGCATACACCCTGGTATGACTAAGATGTATCAAGACCTTAGGAAGTCGTTCTGGTGGCCAGGAATGAAGAGTGATGTCGCACGTTTTGTGACATCCTGCTTAACGTGTCAACGAGCCAAGGCTGAATATCAGAGACCTGGCGGTCTACTTCAACAGTTAGAGATTCCAGAATGGAAGTGGGACGGTATTGCGATGGACTTTGTGACTCATTTACCACGAACGATCAGGAATCACGATTCCATATGGGTGATAGTGGATCGACTGACGAAGAGCGCTCATTTCCTAGCGGTCAATCTGAAAATGTCAATGACGAACCTGGCTAAGCTCTACATCAAGGAAATCGTTCGTCTACATGGAGTTCCATCCAGCATTGTTTCAGACTAGGACACAAGGTTTACCTCTCGGTTTTGGCAATCATTACAACACGAGCTCGGTAGCAAACTCCAAATGAGTTCGGCGTATCATCCTCAGACGGACGGTCAGTCCGAGAGAACCATTCAGACGCTCGAAGACTTACTTAGGACGTGCGTCCTAGATCACATGGGCGTCTGGGACGAAGTCTTGCCTTTAGTGGAGTTCACCTACAACAACAGCTTTCAAGCCAACATAGGAATGGCTCCTTTCGAAGCTTTGTACGAAAGGAAGTGTCGAACACCCTTGTGTTGGTTTCAAGAAGGAGAAAAAGTCTTAACTGGACCAGAACTCATTCAGCAGACGACCGAGAAGGTGAAGTTGATTCAAGAAAGGCTGAAGGCATCTCGGAGCAGACAAAAGTCTTACGCCGATAAAAGAAGAAGGTCGTTAGAGTTCAATGCCGGAGATCACGTCTTCCTCAGACTACATCCGACCACGGGAGTTGGGAGAGCCGTTCGACCTAAAAAGTTGTCTCCCAAGTTCATCGGACCTTATCAAATCTTGAGAAAGATCGGGCCAGTCGCGTACGAGTTGTCCTTGCCGCCTCAGCTATCCAACCTGCATCCAGTCTTCCACGTTTCTCAACTCCGGAAGTACGTAGCCGACCCTTCACACATACTGGAGTTGGAAGATGTTCGTCTTCGTGAAGACCGAACACTAGAAATGCGACCGGTACATGTGGAAGATAGCTGCACTAAGTACTACAAGAAGAAGGCAATTCGATTGGTGAAAGTCGTTTGGGACGAGAAGACGGGCGACTCTACATGGGAAGTGGAGGATGCCATGAAGGATTTGTATCCCCATCTGTTCGAATCTCAGTCCTAATTTTCGAGGACGAAAATTTTTGTAGTTGGGGGGAATGTCAGGACTCAAAAAAAAAAAAAAAGTGTGCTAGTGGAGTCCACGTGGCGATCGCAGAACGAGCCACCTCAGCAGCGTACGTGGCGACAGCGCTCCACCAGCGGACGCCAGGTGTCGCACGTGAAGGTGGGTCAGCAACGTTAGTGGACCATTTCTATTATGTTTGTAAAGAAAACCGAACGGTCAATGACCGTTCAGCAACGAGCGCATGCTATCAAGGGAAGTTCATTTTCAAATTCATATATATTCCAGTTCATTTCTCATTCAAATCTCATAAATTTCCATTCGTTCATATCAAAATTTACTTCTAAATTTCANTGAGTGTGCCAGTTACCACACCACCCGGGTGCATGAACGCCTGTAACTACGCAGAATTCATACAGTCCGGACGGTCAGTCGTGTGTTGAGTTTTATGAGATGCATGCGTTGATATGTATATGTGTGATGAACTATTTACGTGATTTATATATTGATGCATCAGTTAAATTACATAAGCTTACCCTGCGTTTTCCTTGTGTTGTCTCGTTTTGTACCTCCGTCTTGTCATTGCAATGATCATCCGTGTGGATGTGAGCAGAAGGAGATGAGCGTTTGGAAGAGGCGCTGAATGAAGAGAATCTGGTAGAAGTCGAAGTGAAGACCGAACAGTAGTACGTTCGGCTAATATTTCAGATGTTGGATGTAGTGGTCGTTCGACCACCTTATCTTTTATTTTGGCTAAGTTTGACCGTTCGGTATTTCCCTTGTAAACCGTTCGGTCAAGATTTCATGTACGTTCGATTTTTAAAATTTGTAACCTTATGTATGGACGTGCGGCTTTGTGCGTTCGTTATAATTGTAAGACTGTACTCAAGGACGTTCGTCCTTGAGCGTTCGTTCTTTTAGTGAAAACTGTTTTGAATTATTATTGAAGTGATTTTTCAATTATATAGTTTATGACTGTATTTTTGGGATGTCACACTAGTGGTATCAGAGCAGTTTTGATCTCTTAAGGACACTGTAGGTTATGAGTGCACTAAATTTTGCTGTGCGCTTAATGTGTGTCTAATGAGTTATTCCTTCAACTCTTTGAACATGACTAACGCTCATTTTTCTCTGTTTCTAGAGAACAAATGGCACCTAGACTTCCTCCTCCACCACAGCCCAATGAACATGATGCACCCAACAACACTAGACTGTTGGAAACATGATTGAGAGGCTGCAACAACAGAACATTATACTAATGGAGCAGAATGCAGCTGTCCTACAGAGTCTGGAGGCCGCTCGCGCAAATTCTGAATCGATGCAGAGGCAATTGATGGAGATCATTGCCGCCACCAGAGGCACACCAGGAGCGTCCTCTTCTAACACTACCCAACCTGCTGAGTGGAGCTTGGAGAATTTCCTTCAGCATCGCCCGACCAAGTTCGATGGGAAGTGCCTTCCTGATGAAGCAGATCAATGGCTGCGTGACATGGAGAGGATTTATAATGCGAAAAGGTGCCCAGATGAAAATCGTTTGGCTTTCACAGAATATCTTCTGACTGGAGAAGCGAGCCACTGGTGGGCTAGCGTGAGAGCTATATTGACGGACGCTCACAGTCCTATTACTTGGGAAGTGTTCAGAAACAAATTCTATGAAGAGTATTTTTCAGACAGTGTTCATTTTGCCAAGGAGGTGGAGTTCCTACAGTTAGTACAGGGGGGAATGTCTGTTTCTGAGTATACGAACAAGTTCAAGCACTTGGTTCGTTTCAACACCATGGCGACCAGTGAGGAGTGGCAGTGTAGAAAGTTTGAAAATGGGCTGAAGAGTGATTTGAA